CCCCCCTCCCCCCAACAAACAGATGATGGAGCCTCCTGTGTGTCAGTTTGTGGTCACTGCCTCTTGTCCTGTCAGTGCACTGCTGGGCCAGAAGAGCGTCCCCCACACAGAGCAAAGCTGAAGCAGAGGGCTGAGGGGTGGAGGAAAGCAAGGGAGCTCGGTGTGAGTGTGGTGAAGGCTGCAGCTGCACCCTTTGGCTTCTGTCACTACACCCAAAGGGGCTGAAAGCATCAGATTGCATGTGTGGAGGGACATGGCATGGAAAAAGAATCTGTGCCACCGACAGAAAGAACTGATGTTGATGAATCCCTCTCCTGCAACCATCTGCCCAGGAATGAAACTTCTCTCACAACCAGGTGGATTTTGCACAGATTATTGTAGTAAACAGCCAAAAGTTTCTTCTCAGGAGCAGCACAAAGATGTAAGCAAGGGGAGTCAGTTGTCCTGAGTTTTTTTCCAGGACTTATCCTGGAACTCTTAAGTGACTTCGATGGAGACTTTTTGCCCTTCTCAAGCTTGGACACACTGGGGGATATTTTTATGTTTTCTAATACTTCATAATTGTTTTTTCTTCATTGGTTGTAAATCCATGTTATGTGGTTTATACATGTGGGATACTTGTGCTTTGTTCTCTTTGCCCCTCTAAAACTGGTTCTACCTGGTTCACGAGGCTCCATTTCTTTAGTGAACAACAATTGATCAATGGTGTTTCCACAGCCTGCAGTGTGGGTATCTCCTCCACTGTGGTCCTCCATGGGCTGAGGGGACAGCAGGGAATCTGCCCCGGCTCCTCTCCCTCCTTCTTCACTGACCTTGGTGTCTGCACAGCTGTTTCTCACATTTTTCTCATCTTTCTCTCATGCAGCTGCTGCACAGTGCTTTTTACCCTTTCTTAAATATGTTATCACAGAGGTGCCACCAGTGTAACTGCTCAGTTTTGGGCAGGGGTGGGTCTGTTTTGGAGCTGGCTGAAATTGGCTCGCTCTGACATGAAAGCAGGCCCTGGTCTCTTCTAACAAAGGCCACTCTGCAGCCCTGTACCACCAAAACCTTGCCACATAAACCAAAAAAAACTCCATTTCATTTTTATTCCAGAGTCATAGAAAATTCAGTCTATACAAAATAATAACTACTAGTTATTATCTACTCATTATAGAATTGTATCAAAATTATTGTAAGCATCACTCCATTGCCCAAAGCAAAACCAATGCTAAAAATAAGCTCGGTAATAATCACCAAGTCATTCTCCAAGCAGAACAAGACAAGTCCTGAGGCCTGCAGTGCTAACACAAAATCTATGGCTCCTCAGTTGCAATGCCAAGACCACCTTTATTCAGCTGCAGCACTCTGCCAACCAGTCCCCATGTCAGGGCTTTCACTATAATGGTGGCTGCACAATGTCAGGTGTACCCAGAGTTCCAGGAAACTCTGTCCTGCAGCACTTAACAGAATCATCTGGTGAGTGAGAGCTGAGCACAGGTATTCCTGGCCTCACTTGGCCTTGTTGAACCTAACCTCATCAAGTTCAACAAGACCATGTGCAAGGTCCTGCACATGAGTTAGAGCAACCTCCAATATCAGTACAGATGATGTGTAGATTGAGAGCAATCCTGCAGAGAAGGACTTGGGGATATTGGTGGATGAAACATTGAGACAGAAATGTGCACTTACAGCCCAGAAAGTCAGTTGCATCCTAGGATGCATCACAAGAAGTGTGGTCAGCAGGCTGAGGACGGTTATTCTCCCCTCTACTATGCTTTTGTGAGACCCCATCTGGAGTACTGTGTCCAGCTCTGGGGCTCCCAGTACAAGAAAGACATAGACCCCTTACAGCAGGTCCAGAGGAGGACCATAAAAATGATTGAAGGTCTGGAACACCCTTCCTATGAAGAAAGACAGAGAGAGTTGGGGTTGTTTAATCTGGAGAAGACTCTGGGGAGACCTTATTGTTACTGATTTTATTATCAACTGAAATTAAATTGTGCTTGATTTTAATATAAGTATAGAATTAAGAGATATTTAAGTAAAAATAATTTATTTTACACTTATAGTACTTTGAATCTAGCAACCGACTGCTACTCTAAAAGCCCCTGTACAGCCCCGTACCAAGGCCGAAGGGATTGGTCATAATTGTTTAGTAGGAACGGTTAGAACCTAGGTAACAAAACACAAGGTGATTTGTAAACTGCTTTATAATACATACATAGGACTAGAAGAATGCAAGTAGTTGTCAAGGTCCAGGATTAATGGGAACTGAGGGCAGTGACCGTAACAGCTTGCAGGTACCTGCCAAGAAAACCGTGTCCTTAAGCAAAAGGTAATTCTGGCAGGGGGAGATCGCGACCACTGACCCATGGACCACCTACTCACATTACACCCCAGACCCATTTCTAGACATTTCTAACCTCTACTGCGCAGAATCGGAAATAGGAGGAGAATATGTTAATGATTTCTTGGAGACTGCATGTTTATGTATGGATATTTAATGAATATGTATGAGTAAGTTCTATATAAGGTGTATGGTTATGGTGCCCGGCACGTGTTGGTGGTGAGAGCACTCCCCTACAGGTCTGGCCGTCAATAAAGAAGTGTCTGCTTATCTGCATCACATTGGTGTCGATAAGTTTTTATCCCGGTTTTCGGTGACATTATTGCAGTCTTTCAACACATACAGGGGGCTTATGAGCAAGACCGAAAGACTGCTTAACAGGACAAGGGGCAACACTTTTAAACTGAAAGAAGGCAGATTTAGATTAGATTTAAATTTAATTTTTTTACAATGATAGTCGTGAGACACGGGCACCACTGGAAAGGTTCAAGGCCAGGTTGCACGAGGCTTTGAGCAACCTGGGCTAGTGGAAGGTGTCCCTGTCTAAGGCAGGGGGGCTGGACAAAGTGGTCTTTGAAGGTCCCTTCCAATCCAAACTGTTCTCCGATTGTATGATTCTCACTTATCTAGACAGCAGTTTTTGGGCAGGCTTTGCCTGTGATGGAAGCAGAAGTGTGAGGCTTCCTCAGGTGCTGGTGCTCTGTTATGGGGTGGGAGTGATTGCTGGCATGTTTCTTTCCCCATCACATCTTGTTAGATGGATATAGTGTGGTTATGAGGAGGAAGTGAGACAGGGCATGCTGGATTTTGTCTTTCTAGGAAGTTCTATCCCGTGAAACACCATGAGACAGAGGAAGGTGTGAGGAAAACACAAGTTCAAGACATATCCAAAGGTGCCTTATATCTGTTTTTTTTTTTCACGGTTTGTACTGAAGGACCCAGGGGCAGCCATCTGCCCTTTACGCAGGAGTGAAAAGAATGTGTGTCCAGCTTGCCAGCACCTCCAGCTGACATCACCACCGTGACCCACCAGCAGACAGGGGCTGAGGAGACCACGATGCACATGGAGCTCCAGGTCACCCGCTCGCCTGCCAGCACACGCCACACAGAACCCGGCTGTTCCACTCCACCCTTCACCCTGCGAACCACGGGGATGCCTCTTCCCGTGCAAATAATTCCCAGTCTGTTTGATTTCCAGCTGGCTCTTCCTAGAAACCCAGTTCCTTCTTTAGCCACAGGACTTGCCAAACACTTTTAGAGGGCTGGTGGCAGGGAGGGTACGAACGCCCAGAGGGGAGTATGGGGGAAGGAGGATGGGCGGCCGGACGGGTGGAGCAATGTCTATGGGTGTGTGCGCAGGGACGGGTGGACTAACGGCAGACGAGGGCGTAGAAAGAACGCCAGCGATTGTCCGTGCTTCCGAACAGCCACGCACGTGTGGAGCTCCTGCCCACAGACCGGCACCGCCCGCTGCTCTCCCCGGGACACGGGCACAGAGGCTGAGAACGCGGCAGCTGCGTGACGCAGAGGTTGCCCCAGGCGCCTGCAGGTGGGGAGTCTTGTCCTTCAGTGTGCGCCTCACCACACCTCTGAAGAGACATCTGAAGTCCGGTGGCAGAATTTACATCCTTGAAATAATTTATTTTTCCACAACCCTGAAGGAGACGAGCAAGAAGGTGCCATGAGGGGAGGGAGGCTGCGGGCCCGCGAGAACAGTCCTGGGCTAACCCCCAACTGCACAGTTCTTCATTCTCGACTAGTAACACTAAAACACGTTTCTGTGGCACTTATCTCTTAGCGAGCGGGTTAACAAACCCCTCTGAGTTGCTCTCTCACCGCCCGGTGCAAGGGCACGGCGCGGGTCTCGGCCGGTGCCCCGCCAGGCTCTGCCC